TCCAGAGCTCCTAGCACAGTGCCCGGCGCAGTCATGGACCTGACCCCGGAGGTCTTGACATCCAGGTCTCTTAATGAGCTGTGTGGCTTAACAGAACTCACACAACCTCTCTGCCCTTCAGGTTCTCCCCCGCTCTTCATCTCTCCCCTCTTCCAAAAAGGCCCCTAGAAGCTCATCCAGGCCAGTAGCCTTCCCACTTGTCCCTGAGAGAGTTTGCATTGAGGTGTTAATTTAGAGGCCTGCACAGGAGGTGAGGACAGACGGACAGAGCAGTCTGCTGGTCCTCTTTCCCCAAACACACTCCCACACACGCAGGTCCACTTTGTTGTTTTAGAAATGTATGATTTCTTTGGAAGGAAAGGTTCTGTAAAAAAAGAAAAGCTTGAAAAACGCAAGGAACAAAACAGAAATATTACAGGTCAAGTAGTTCTTCTGCCTGGGGGCAAATCTTGTTTCTGCCATGTCCCTGTCTTGCGTGTGTGACCCTGAACAAGTGCTCTAACCTGTCTGAGCCTCAGTTTCCCCATCTGGAAAAAGGGGATGACGATGATAGCACCTACCTTAAAGGTATGTGGTGAGGTTTAATGATTTACTGAGAGAAATCACTCAGAACAGTGCCTGGCCCAGAATGCTTGTGATATCATATAAAATATATCTGGTCTTCGTCCCCATTTGTGAGATCTCTTAAAACTCTTGGAATTTCCCCAGTGATAGGATTGCCTATTGTTATTCGTGAGTCTCCTTGGATGACATTTGGGTTTATTCTCATGAGGGGACTCAGGACCGGGCTGGTCACCAGACAGATCAAGTGACTAGAGGGGAAACTGTCAGCCGCTCCCACTCATCTCTGGGAAGACCTGGGGTTGGGAAGGCCCTGCAGACTGAACTCCATAAAATCTCTCGAGCAATGAGTTCCGGAGCAGCTTCTGGGCTGGGGAACCTTCTAGAAGGATGGTACGCTCTCAGGGAGAGACCCTTCCAGACATTGCCTGACCCACCTCTTCATCTGGCTGTTTATTTGAGTCCTTTCTAAGAAACCAGTAAAGGTAAGTCAAGCACCTTCCTGAGTTCTGTGAGGGGTTCACGAGAGAAATATGGGAGCTGAGGAGGAGGTCACAGGGAGAAGCAGGGGTGACCAGAAGTTGTGGCTGGCATCCACGGGACAGGCAGTCTTGTGGGACTGACCCTTCAGCTGCGGAGCCGGGCTCATTCTGGGTCCTCAGTGTCCAAAATGGGGTGAATTGTCGGACAACCAGTCGGTGCTGGAGAATTGGTTGGTGTCAGAAAATACCCCAGAAATGATCGTTAGTGAGCACATTCTGTCCTCTAACGTGGAAGAAGAAATTAATAGGCTTTTTAAAAAAAAAAGATTTTATTTATTTGACACAGAGAGAGATCACAAGGAGTCAGAGGGGCAGGCAGAGGGGGTGTGGGAGAAGTAGGCTCCCCGCTGAGCAGAGAGCCCGATGCAGGGCTTGATCCCAGGACCCTGAGATCATGACCGGAGCTGAAGGCAGAGGTCCAACCCCACCGAGCCACCCAGGCACCCCAGAAATGAATAGGCTTAACATTTTAGCCATCTCGTGAGTGAACTTTCTGTGGAACTCTCAGTGTTAACCCTCAGAGGGACTATGGTGGAATATTCAGACCCTGGGACCTCTTGGTTTAGGACAAAGGGGGAACTCCTCACCACCTGGTAAATCTCAAGGCTACAGCAGCCCCTCCCATGCCTCTCTCCAGGGCTGACCGTGACTCTGCCTCCTCACTCAGGAAGCGTGGGTACTCTCTGAATCATTTCTGTCCTTTATTTCAAAATCCTACTTCATTTGCCCCACAGCCTTTCCCTACTTGAGGGGTTAGTCATCCTTCATCTGGGCTATTACCAGCCCCTCTGGACGTCATCCCCCGTTTCCTAACCCCCCGACATCTTTCGAAGTTGTTTCTGGCTGTTCCTACAGTTAGACTGCCTTCCCCCCCGAGAACACTGGACTTCCAGGGGGTAAAGAGGGCTCGAGGTGTGCTGAAGCCTGAGGCCAGGAAGATCATTCATTCACCACATATTTGCGGACTCCTGGCACCATCCAAGACCTGTGGGATATAGAAATAATTTATGACCCAGTTGCTATCCGCAGAGAGCTCACAGTCTACTGGGGGAAACCAGTGAAATCCGACAAGTACAGTAAATCCCAGGAAAAGCTTGAATGGAGGTAGCCCAGACCACTGCTAGCCCAAAGGAGGGGCACCGCCCTGGGTCCCAGAGGGTGAGGAAGGCTTCCGAGGGGAAGTGACAGTTGTGCTGAGATTTGAAAATTACGGTTCTCCAGGCTAAGAATTTAGACGGGAGACACACTTTAGACAGAACAAAACATACAAAGCTTGGACGATGTCACGGTGTGTGCGTGGCTTCATTGGGGTAAGGCTTGGACTCGGTGGAATGACCTGGGGCCAGCGGCTAATTCTGCTGAGGTCAGGACAGGCCCTCCTTTGTCCCGTGGGATGGACTTAAGAGTGCTACAGCCAGGCCTTGGAACAGGGTGTCCTGGGTGGGATGTGATCCAGCCGAGAGCCTGGGAAGGGCTGGTTACAGCCCCAATGGAGCCCACCGCTATTATAAGGCTTAAATGAGATAATATATGTCAAGCAACCAGCTCAGAGTAAGCACTCAAGATGTGGTAGCTATTATTGTTAATATTATTGAATTGCATTGTTAAGGTCATGGAGGAAGCTGGTAGAGGCTCTATCTGTTAGAGGCCCCAAAGAGGATCTGCTGGAAAACCGTTACATCTGGGCCGAGGCTTCTTGGGGCTAGTTCTCATTCTTTTGTGGAAACAGACTCTTTGAAGAATCTGATGAAAGCCTCTCCCCAGAAAAAGGCACATCTGCTCGCATGAAGCTTTGCATATCATCTCAGGGACTTCACAGACTCTGGAAGCCCGGCTGGTCATAGAAACCGGTGGGACACAGCTGTTCCTCGCCAAGCACGGCTGAGAGAAGTTCCCACTGTTCCCTCGGCCTATTATTCTAAGTGAAAACCTCAGCACAAGGAGTTTCAACTCTAGGAATAACCTGTGTGTCTCAAAACACCCAGCGGCATGCCCAGGAATGGCTGGGGGGTGGGGTGGTGGGGGCAGTGAGGAGACCATTTTAGTAGTCCAGGGAGAGGATGGGGTTGGTTTCTGGCTTCAGGGGTACACAGTCTCCCCGGGGCCTGCAGCGCCCTCCCGGTGCTTGGATTCATGCTCTGCTGGGTCGCCATCCTCGGGTTTTTAACAAGGAGCCGTGCATTTTCCTTCTGCAGCAGACCCCACCAGTTACAGAGCTGGTCCCAGGAGAAGATCATAAGAATGGATCTGAGGGCTTACTATGGGAGCAGCATACAAGTGGCAGGGCTGGGACTGGAACCCAGGCTGTGTGGGTGCAGAACCCTGGGTCTGGATCTGCCTCACGCTGCCTGCTGGGTCAGAAGGGCTAGTTAAAGCAGAGAAGGTGGGAAGAATTAGCAATGTTCTGTTTCTTCCGCCCCGAACACTGTTTTTGCCCCCTCTGCCTCTCCCTCCCTCCTGTTGTCTTCTCAGGATTAATGCCATTTCCTCAAGGAGGCCCTTCCTGGTTTCCACACCTGGTCTGTGCCCCCTTATGCCGTCTTTTACCCTTTTTTGTCCTTGAGAGCGAGCACTCATCAGAGTCTGTCATTATGTATTTCCGGTTTTAAGGACAGTCCCTTGATGAACTGTTCTCCCGGTGGCTACAGAGACTGGTTGGTTCCCCCGCTCCCAGTGGAGAGCCTGACACACAGTAGGAATTTTATAGATATTATTGGAAAGGTACAGTTCACAGAATGGTCAGATGGGACAGAGAAGCAGAAGAGGATGACACAGGAATTCCTGCCTGAGTGATGTGAACCACGGAGGTGACTATAGGAAGTTTGGGGGGAGGCAGGGAGGATGAAATGGATTTGGCATGTGTTTGGAAGTTTGAGTGCTTTTCAAGGTGTCTTGGAGAGAGCAATTTTTTTTTTTTAAGATTTTATTTATTTACTTGAGAGAGAAAGAAAAAGCACAAGAAGGGGGAGCAGCAGAGGGCGAAGGAGAAGCAGACTCCCAGCCCAACAAGGAGCCGGATGCCTGATACGGGGCTCAGTTCCAGAACTCTGGGATCATGACCTGAGCAGAAGGCAGTCGCTTAACTGACTGAGCCCCCCAGGCATTTGGAAGGAGGCAGTCTTCTGCTTTCTGACTTCCTCCCCACTGCAGTGGGGGTTAGGGGCTGGCCACAGCCCTTGGGAGGACCTCTGTCTCCGCCATCAGGCATCTCACCCTCATGACTCTGGGAGCCTGTCTTTTCCCTGCACTGGGAAGCTCAGTGAGCTCTGGGACCGTGCTGCAGTGCTCATCTCTGGACCCCGGGGTCCCCCAAGGGTGTGTATGCAGTCCGGCCTCAGTAAATGCCAGTAGAAGGAAAGAGGGAAGGACGAACACGTGACCAGACTCTTAGGAGGGAGGCTGGGATGAGGAGCAGATCTGGGAACCAGAGTGGAATGAGAGGGCCGAACCGGAACCTCGGGGCCCTAGGGACAGGGTGGAGAGAGGAGGGCTCCAGCACCCTCAGGAGCTCAGGCACAGAGCTAAGAGTTTTAGTCACACAACTGCTTTCCACCCTCTTGGCAACTCTGAAGCTGACATTCCCACTTTGCTAAGAAAGCTGAGGCCCAGAGAGGAGACGTGACATGCCCAAGGTCACACAAGTCTCGAGCCGGCCGGGAAGTCCGGGTCTGACCCAGGGCCCTCAGCCCCCAAGCCTGCACTCTTCCCAGTCACTCCGGGCCTTTCCCTCCCTCCTCCACTGCCCTACCTCTTCTCCCCTCCTCTCTGCTCCCGCGGCCGCCCCGCCCCTCCCTCCCACCCTCCCACCCTCCCACCCTCCCTGCTGGTGGCGGCGGCGGCGGCGGCGGCGAAGCCACGTGGTGGGGCCGGAAAGCCGCGGCCGCGGAGCGCCCGGGCGGCTGCCCCAGCTGGGCAGTGCTGCTCTGCGCCGCGCGGCGCTCGGTGCCCGCGTCCCCCGCTCCGCCCTCCCCGCCAGCCGCCCCGGGGCAGGAGGCGCGCCTGGCGACCGCCCGGCCAGACAAAGGAGGCGCGGCGCGGCAGAGCCAGCGCGGGCCGACGGACCATGGACTCGGAGCGCGAGCGGCCGGCCCCCGCCCTGAGGACCCGGCGTCCCCGGGCCCGGCCCTAGGCGCCCGGCCCCGCCGCCCGGGGCGCGCAGCCGGGAGGACGCGGAGCCCGCGCGGCGCGGAGGAGGCGGCGGCCGCCGAGCTAGAGGGGCGCCGCGGCGGACGGCCCGCGGGGCCCCCGGAGCCATGGGCAAGTGCAGCGGGCGCTGCACGCTCGTCGCCTTCTGCTGCCTGCAGCTGGTGAGCGCCGGGCGGCGGGGGCCGGGTGGGGCTTAGCGGGGCGGGGTCCCGGGCGTGCGGGTGGGCCGTGGGTCTCCGTGCGTGTCTGCCGCCAGTCCCAGCTTGGGGTGGGGAGGTGAGCCGGAGTCACGGAGCGGACGGGCGGAGCCTGCTCCTGCTGGCCGGGCTGGCTCTTTGTGTGCGCTCCCCGCCTGGCGCTCCCGGGTCCCCGAGTGCGTCCTGCGCGCGGGTCCCCCCCCCCACGCCCACCGGCACCGTGCGAGTGGCCTGCTGCGGGACTGTGACTCGCTGAGGCCGGGGGGTGTGTCCCGGGCTGCTCGGCGGAGACGCTGAGGTCCCTGCCGGGTGTTTTCCGCTAGATTCCTCGGTTGCTAGCGGCTCTCCCTTCCTCGGGGTCTGTGCCTGTGTTGAGTGTTTCTCGCAAAGTCTTTGCTCCTCTGTGTGTGTCTCCGTCTTTCTCCTTGGGGTGTGTCTAGCTCTCTAACCATTTCTTGTCCACGTTCGCCCGTGTGTGTGTTGGGATCTTAGACTCCAAGAACCGTACCCTCCTCCTCCTTTGTGCTGTTTCTGCCTGCCTTCACCCTCCTGACTGGGCAGGCCTGGGAATGGAGAGCCACCTCTCTTGGAGAGGGTCGCAAGGAACTGCCAGGTCCTGGGCCAGTCTGTCAAACTGGGTGCTGACCGCCCTCCCCGCTTTTATTGTGGCCACTGCACCCAGGGTATCTCCATTAGCCATCGGTTCCTCCCCAGCGTCATGGGTGGAGACCAGCACCTCGCCTGGGCAGGCAGGGGTGAGGGGTGGGGATCCTGGGGTGCCCTGGCAGGGAGGGGAGCATCTGGGGGAAACTCTGCCTCATCCCAGCTTAGGGAACTCAGGTTCTTGCCTCAGGGAGTTCAGTGGAGTGAATCTGGGGGCTGAAGAGGACCAGTGTTCTTCAATTCAAGCTCTGGCAGGTGAATTTGGGGAGCCGGTTCAGGAGAAGCCAGGGTCTCCTGCCCATCCTAGAGCTCGGGCCTGACAACTAGGGGGTTTTGAAGCTGTGCTGAGCCTCTAGGCAGAGAGGTGCACAGGGACCGCCTTGGGCAGAGCTCCCAGCACTAAGCCTCCCTGAAGCCCAACTCCACCCTCTGGTCCCCACTGTTGCCTGCCCCCACGCTTCCCCAGCACAGGTGCATACAGTCATGCAGAGGGAAGCTCTGAGCCTGGATGTGCAGACCTCATCTGGTTTCTCCCCTCTCAGGCACGCCAGCCCCAAACTTGCCATCTGCAGCCTTGCCCTCCTGGGCGGTGGTGGGAGCAGCCAGGCCATGAAGACTGTAGCCCTGTTCCCAGCTGAGGGACGCAGGGCAAGGAACTTCCCTTCCCTGGGCTGCCTTGGTCTGCCTGCCTGCAAAATGCTTATCCTTGAGGGTTGCAGAGGGGGTTAATTAAAATCAGGTAGAATGGAAACTCTAGAAGGGCAGAGATTATCTGTTTTGTTGCCTGCTAAATCCCCAGCAGCTGGAACAGGGCCTGGCAGTCCATTAATATTTGTAAAATAAATTAATGAATCAGTTATTTGGCAACTCCGGGCTCACAGTCGAAACACCCTCCTTTATATACTTTGAGGAATACAAAATGCCAAGAAATGATGAAACTTTTCCAAGGATTTTTTTTTCCCTGCTCGTTCATTTTTAAAATTTAAAGGAGGACTTGCTTTATTCTTAAAAAAGTAACGGACATTTATTGTGAAAAATGAATCAATAAATAATCCAACAGTGCAGAACATAAAGGTACGGTTCCTTCTGAGCCCAGTCCCACACCCCAAAGGTAAGCCCATTTGGCATTCGGCCCCATTCTCTGCTGCTGCAGCAAACAATGGTTAGCTTTAGGCCGCATTTACTAGGTGTTAGGTGCCCTTGGAAGCCCTTTTCCATGTATTAACTTATTCAGTCCTCGTAATGATCCTATCAAGCAACTTGCCCAAAGTTCCATGGTTAGGAGCCAGGCTTTGAAGCCAGGCAGCTGGCCAGCTTACTCTGTTGCCTTCTTCATTATAAAATATAAGTAGTTTTGGCACAGAGCCATCAGGGTCCTTTAGGAGGTCTTTACTCCTCCCTGCCTCCCACTCACCTGCCTCCAGACCTCCCTCCAGCTAAGCTCCCTCGGCCCTTCCACTAAAGTGTTCACCAGCCTATAGGGGCTCCGGAATTAGGCAAGACCTGGGTGGGATTCTGATTCTCCTACAACTTGGCTGGGTGGCTTTGGGCCACTTGTGGGAGTTAGATGAGATAATTTGCAGGGAGGGGGTGCTCCGAGGAGGGACTTGGAAATTGCTCTCTCGCCTCTGTTCTGCCTCGGTGAATGGCAGAGTGGGTCCCTTTGGCTGACGCTAACCCCCAGGGGCCTCGGCTGCCTGACGGCTTCTCGTGCTCCAGAAGGCTGGGCTCCAACAGCCTGACATGATGTGAGAGAGAAGCAAGGCTATTTTCCCATCCAGTGGAAAGAGGCCGAGAAGGAAAAGGCTGTTTAAGTGTTTCTCAGCTGCAAACTTTAGAAGGGGAACTGTCATTTTTTCTCTTTTGAACAGGGTTTGATCATTACAGTAAAATAGGCTAGTTCTAGACACTCTTCTGTAATCGGGATGGACTTGCTGTGGGTGAGGGATTAGGGTGAGTGTGTCCTGGGGGGTGGGAGGAGCAAGTGGGGGCTTTACATTCAGGCGGACAAGAGTAGGGACAGGGCTCTGGAGTTTGATAGAACAGACCTGCGTTTGAGCGCTGGCTTTGTCACTTCCTAGCTGTGTGATCTTTGGCAAGTGGCTTACCCTCTCTGAGCCACAGTTTTGTCATCTCTTAGCGATAATATAAACAGTTGCCAATTCTTAGGGTTGTTTTGAGGAGTAAATACATGTGATGAACTCAGCATCGAGCCAAGCACTGAGCGAACGTTCAATAAACTATAGTTAACATAACTATTAACTATTGTTATGTTAATAATATATAAATACACCATGGGATACTTTCCTGGAATTGTGGCCCAGGCATATCTAGGTACCCCTCTGTACTCTTCCTTTGTGGGAAGCAGCAGGTAGTTGGGCACTGAGCTGAGAGGCAGGAGGCTTGGATTCAAGTGCAGCTCTGCCACAGGGATGCTGTGGACTCCGACAAGCCTTTTCCCCACTGCAAGCCTTGATTTTTCCATCTATAAAATGGGGGCGGACTACCGCTTTGTATCTTCTGGGGTCCGGCCAGTCCTGTGCATCTGGGACTGTAGGATGATGTCTGGGCCGGCCTGGAGGTTTCAGGGTGCCTCGGTCTGGTTCCCTTCTGTAGAACACCCTGAGTCCCTTCCTTTCCCGAGTTCTACTTGGTGTATCAACTTGACCTTTTTAATGCTATTCACTCCCTAATTTTTAGGTGCTCCTCTTTTCCCTCCCTTGCCCAAGCCCTCCCCTTCTTTCCGGGTTCACCTCCTTCCTGCAACCTTACAGGCCACCCTGTTCTTCCTGTAAGAAGATGGACCAAGGAGATTTGCCCAAGGGAATCCTCGTCAATTTCATCATCATCATCATTCCCATTCCTGGAGGCCTGTGCTAAGCACTCTATATGCATTACCTCATTTAACCAAATGAGCTTATATGTAAAGCATTTGGCAGAGTGCCTGGTACGTGTTCAGCGATCGATAAACGTTAGCTTTCGCCGTTTTTATCCTCGTTGTTCTTCTGCACAACGGGATGGATATTCTCGCTCTCCCCTATGTCAGATGCGGAGACTGAGGCTCAGAGAGGTGATGACGTTTGCCTGAGGTCTCTAAGCTAGCCAGTGACAGATCCAGGACGTGTGTGCTTTACTGCCTGAGCAGAGAGCCCCCTGTCCTCCAGCAGCAGTCCGCGGCTGGTGTTTGTGCGTGCATGACCTCAGACAGGTCTCTTCCCTGCTTCTGGCCTCAGCTTCCTCATCTGAAATTGATAATATTTCTTTCCTTTTTTTTTTTTTTAAGATTTTATTTATTTATTTGTCAGAGAGAGAGAGAGATCACAAGTAGGCAGAGAGGCAGGCAGAGACAGAGGGAGAAGCAGGTTCCCTGCCGAGCAAGGAGCCCGATATGGGACTCGATCCCAGGACGCTGGGATCATGACCTGAGCCGAAGGCAGCCGCTTAACCAACTGAGCCACCCAGGCGTCCCTCTTTTTTTTTTTTTTTTAAAGATTTTATTTATTCATTTGACAGAGAGAGATCACAAGTAGACAGAGTGGCAGATAGAGAGAGAGGAGGAAGCAGGCTCCCTGCCGAGCAGAGAGCCCAATGTGGGGCTTGATCCCAAGACCCTAGGATCATGACCCGAGCCGAAGGCAGAGGCTTTAACTCACTGCGCCACCCAGACACTCCTGAAATTGATAATATTTCAGTAGGATCATGAACTCGGCTGGGCCCGCGAGCCAGTGAGCGCTCAGTCATACCTCACTGCCATGGCTGTTCTCGTCCCCACTCTGGGTGACTTTGGGCACATGCATTCACTCCTCTGGGCCCCAGTCTCTTCCTCCAGCAAAGAAAAAGAGCCATCCCTACCTAGTGGAGTTGTAAAAAGGGGTTAGCCAGGTGCCGTGCACATAGTAGGCATTCAGAAAAACGCTGGTTTCATTCTCTTCCCTTCTGGAAAGCTCTCTGCTTTCTCGAAGGTGGTGGGTGAGGGGAGATAAGACATAGCTTCCTGCTGAGCTGCGAGTAATGGTGTGAAACGTGGTCAACCTGATTGATGTCGTTATTAGCAGTAGTGATGGTGGAGACTGGAGGGAGCTGGGCTCCTGCAGGGGCCTGGGCTCCAAAGCAGCTGTGCCTACAAGCTGGTGGCCTCCTGGGGTGGGTGTGGGGGCTCTGCTCTGCTCTAGGTTCTTTGGGCCCTTGGGCCAGGCTTGGGAGTCAAGAACACAGAGCACAGCATTGTCTGGGCCACTGACCCTTTTTGTTCCTCATACCTTTTGGACGGCTGGCGTGGTCAGCTCCCTTTTTGCAGATGG